TAAAGCTAGCACATATAAACACATAAACCAAAGCTAGTGCTTAGCTACGTGCTAATCGCTAGCTACGTGCTAATCGCTAGTTACATGCTAATCGCTAGCTAACCGCTAATCGCTAGCTACATGCTAATCGCTAGCTAAGCGCTAATCGCTAGCTAAGTGCTAGCTTTGGTTAATGTGTTTAATTGTATTATGCTCCTGAAGGAGTGCTAATGTAAATTAAGGAACAGCTCATAGTAGGGTAAAATATTTAAGGTGTATTGAACTTATTTTGTGTTAATATTAAAATCATTCAGCTTTAAATTGTTTGCTTGTTAGCCACCTGCTAATTATCTTTAGCTATCCAGCTAGCGCTAGCTTATTAATGTCTTGTCATTCTCTGTAGCTAGCTGTGTGTGTGTGTGTGTGTGTGTGTGTGTGTGTGTGAGCAGGCTTTGGTTGTCATGGCAATCAGGGGAGCCCACAGCAGCTGCGCGCGCTCTCTCTCTGTCTCTAACTCCTCAGAGAGACAGAAACATTTAAAATGAATCCCCTAAAAAGCATGGCCAGGAACGACCGAAATGAAAACCGAAAAGACCGTGAGCGTCGTCATCTTGTTGACTATAGCCCTGCCGAGTTTCAGTGGTTAAAGTTAAAAAATGTGACCTGGGGAGATTGAGAGAGAAGAGGTTCAACGAGCGTTTTTCAAGAATCCTCCTCTCCATTTTAACATGGGAGTAGATGGGGCCGTGAGAGGGTGTTGCTGGCGCATCAGTGCGTTTCCCGCCAAAACTATTTGTCTGACAGCTTCAGCAGTAGTATCACTGCGACCCCAACGAATTTACCTACGTTTCTATCTATAAATTATTTCTGTAGAGTGATATTTGTGGCCATGACAGCAGTTTACAAATTTATTTTTCGACAATTTTTCTCTCTCCCCACACTCTAGCGATGATGTCACGCACTCTGGCAGTTTTTTTCAGTTGGAGGTTCTCGCAATACACACCCATTCATTTTTTGGACCGGTTTTTGGCGATTTATCGGCGAACCGTTTGGCGAAATTCTTAGAAAAGTCATAGCACTAATGTCCTCAACGAGCCGCACGTTCTGATACCTTTTTTGTGTACGTGCGATCAAAGCTCTGGGAGAAGAAGCGCGCCGAAAAAGCGTACGGAAGAATAAAATATTATAACTAGAAAATTCCTAAAGCAATTTTGATTGTGCCTTGCTCTGGCCCATATGTTAATACCATGTCTACGTGCTAACCGCTAATCGCTAGCTGTGCGCTAATCGCTAGCTAAGTGCTAACCGCTAGTTGCTAGCCAAGTGCTAGCTGTGGTTAATGTGTTTAATTGTATTATGCTCCTGAAGGAGTGCTAATGTAAATGAAGTAACAGCTCACAGTAGGGTAAAATATTTAAGGTGTATTGAACTTATTTTGTGTTAATATTAAAATCATTCAGCTTTAAATTGTTTGTTTGTTAGCCACCTGCTAATTATCTTTAGCTAGCCAGCTAGCGCTAGATTATTAATGCCATGTAATCCTCCCTATAGCATATTGATAACCTGTCATCCTCCTTAGCTAGCGCTAGCATATTAATATCATGTCATTCTCTTTAGCTAGCTAGCTAAAGCTAGCACATATAAACACATAAACCAAAGGTAGTGCTTAGCTACATGCTAATCGCTAGCTATCCGCTAATCGCTAGCTACATGCTAATCGCTAGCTAAGCGCTAATCGCTAGCTGTGCGCTAATCGCTAGCTAACCGCTAATCGCTAGCTAAGTGCTAGCTTTGGTTAATGTCTTTAATTGTGTTATGCTCCTGAAGGAGTGCTAATGTAAATTAAGGAACAGCTCATAGTAGGGTAAAATATTTAAGGTGTATTGTTCTTATTTTGTGTTAATATTAAAATCATTCAGCTTTAAATTGTTTGCTTGTTAGCCACCTGCTAATTATCTTTAGCTAGCCAGCTAGCCAGCTAGCTTATTAATGCCTTGTCATTCTCTGTAGCTAGCTGTGTGTGTGTGTGTGTGTGTGTGTGTGTGTGTGTGTGTGTGTGTGAGCAGGCTTTGGTTGTCATGGCAATCAGGGGAGCCCACAGCAGCTGCGCACGCTCTCTCTCTGTCTCTAACTCCTCAGAGAGACAGAAACATTTAAAATGAATCCCCTCAAAAGCATGGCCAGGAACGACCGAAATGAAAACCGAAAAGACCGTGAGCGTCGTCATCTTGTTGACTATAGCACTGCCAAGTTTCAGTGGTTAAAGTTAAAAAATGTGACCTGGGGAGATTGAGAGAGAAGAGGTTCAACGAGCGTGTTTCATGATTGCTCCTCTAAAATTAACATGGGAGTAGATGGGGCCGTGAGAGGGAGTTGCTGGCGCATCAGTGCGTTTCCCGCCAAAACTATTTGTCTGACAGCTTCAGCAGTAGTATCACTGCGACCCCAACGGATTTACCTACGTTTCTATCTATAAATTATTTCTGTAGAGTGAAGTTTGTGGCCATGACAGCAGTTTACAAAAAATTTTTTCGACAAATTTTTCTCTCTCCCCACACTCTAGCGATGATGTCACGCACTCTGGCAGTTTTTTTCAGTTGGAGGTTCTCGCAATACACACCCATTCATTTTTTGGACCGGTTTTTGGCGATTTACCGGCAAACCGTTTGGCGAAATTCTTAGAAAAGTCATAGCACTAATGTCCTCAACGAGCCGCACGTTTTGATACCTTTTTTGTGTATGTGCGACAAAAGCTCTGGGAGAAGAAGCGCGCCGAAAAACGTACGGAAGAATAATAATAAGTTTAATAATAATAAGCACGAGGGATAGTAGTATTGTGCTTGCTTATGCAAGGCACAATAACTAGAAAATTCCTAAAGCAATTTTGATTGTGCCTTGCTCTGGCCCATATGTTAATACCATGTCTACGTGCTAACCGCTAATCGCTAGCTGTGCGCTAATTACCTTTTATTAATGCCATGTAATCCTCCCTATAGCATATTGATAACCTGTCATCCTCCTTAGCTAGAGCTAGCACACATAAACACATTAACCAAAGGTAGCACTTAGCTATGTGCTAATCGCTAGCTAACCGCTAATCGCTAGCTAAGTGCTAACCGCTAATCGCTAGCTAAGTGCTAGCTTTGGTTAATGTGTTTAATTGTATTATGCTCCTGAAGGAGTGCTAATGTAAATTAAGGAACAGCTCATAGTAGGGTAAAATATTTAAGGTGTATTGAACTTATTTTGTGTTAATATTAAAATCATTCAGCTTTAAATTGTTTGCTTGTTAGCCGCCTGCTAATTATCTTTAGCTAGCCAGCTAGCGCTAGATCATTAATGCCATGTAATCCTCCCTATAGCATATTGATAACCTGTCATTCTCTTTAGCTAGCTAGCTAGAGCTAGCACACATAAACACATAAACCAAAGCTAGCGCTTAGCTACGTGCTAATCGCTAGCTAACTGCTAATCGCTAGCTACATGCTAATCGCTAGCTAACCGCTAGCTTTGGTTAATGTGTTTAATTGTATTATTCTCCTGAAGGAGTGCTAATGTAAATTAAGAAACAGCTCATAGTAGGGTAAAATATTTAAGGTGTATTGAACTTATTTTGTGTTAATATTAAAATCATTCAGCTTTAAATTGTTTGTTTGTTAGCCACTTTCTAATTATCTTTAGCTAGCCAGCTAGCACTAGCTTATTAATGTCTTGTCATTCTCTGTAGCTAGCTGTGTGTGTGTGTGTGTGTGTGTGTGTGTGTGTGTGTGAGCAGGCTTTGGTTGTCATGGCAATCAGGGGAGCCCACAGCAGCTGCGCACGCTCTCTCTCTGTCTCTAACTCCTCAGAGAGACAGAAACAATTAAAATGAATCCCCTCGAACCCATGGCCAGGAACGACCGAAATGAAAACCGAAAAGACCGTGAGCGTCGTCATCTTGTTGACTATAGCACTGCCGAGTTTCAGTGGTTAAAGTTAAAAAATGTGACCTGAGGAGATTGAGAGAGAAGAGGTTCAACGAGCGTTTTTCAAGATTCCTCCTCTAAAATTAACATGGGAGTAGATGGGGCCGTGAGAGGGCGTTGCTGGCGCATCAGTGCGTTTCCCGCCAAAACTATTTGTCTGACAGCTTCAGCAGTCGTATCACTGCGACCCCAACGAATTTACCTACGTTTCTATCTATAAATTATTTCTGTAGAGTGAAATTTGTGGCCGTGAGAGCAGTTTACAAATTAATTTTTCGACAAATTTTTCTCTCTCCCCACACTCTAGCGATGATGTCACGCACTCTGGCAGTTTTTTTCGGTTGGAGGTTCTCGCAATACACACCCATTCATTTTTTGGACCGGTTTTTGGCGATTTACCGGCAAACCGTTTGGCGAAATTCTTAGAAAAGTCATAGCACTCGATTCCCGGCCGAGCCGCACGTTTTGATACCTTTTTTGTGTATGTGCGACAAAAGCTGCGGGAGGAGTAGCGCGCCGAAAAAGCGTACGGAAGAATAATAAGTTTAATAAGCCCGAGGGATAATAGTATTGTGCTTGCTTATGCAAGGCACAATAACTAGAAAATTCCTAAAGCAATTTTGATTGTGCCTTGCTCTGGCCCATATGTTAATACCATGTCTACGTGCTAACCGCTAATCGCTAGCTGTGCGCTAATCGCTAGCTAAGTGCTAACCGCTAATCGCTAGCTTAGTGCTAACCGCTAATTGCTAGCTAAGTGCTAGCTTTGGTTAATGTGTTTAATTGTATTATTCTCCTGAAGGAGTGCTAATGTAAATTAAGGAACAGCTCATTGTAGGGTAAAATATTTAAGGTGTATTGAACTTATTTTGTGTTAATATTAAAATCATTCAGCTTTAAATTGTTTGCTTGTTAGCCACCTTCTAATTATCTTTAGCTAGCCAGCTAGCGCTAGATTATTAATGCCATGTAATCCTGCCTTTAGCATATTGATAACCTGTCATCCTCCTTAGCTAGCGCTAGCATATTAATATCATGTCATTCTCTTTAGCTAGCTAGCTAGAGCTAGCACACATAAACACATAAACCAAAGGTAGCGCTTAGCTACGTGCTAATCGCTAGCTAACCGCTAATCGCTAGCTACATGCTAATCGCTAGCTACATGCTAATCGCTAGCTAAAGCGCTAATCGCTAGCTAAGTGCTAGCTTTGGTTAATGTGTTTAATTGTATTATGCTCCTGAAGGAGTGCTAATGTAAATTAAGGAACAGCTCATAGTAGGGTAAAATATTTAAGGTGTATTGTTCTTATTTTGTGTTAATATTAAAATCATTCAGCTTTAAATTGTTTGCTTGTTAGCCGCCTGCTAATTGTCTTTAGCTAGCCAGCTAGCGCTAGCTTATTAAGGTCTTGTCATTCTCTGTAGCTAGCTGTGTGTGTGTGTGTGTGTGTGTGTGTGTGTGTGTGTGTGTGTGTGGGCAGGCTTTAGTTGTCATGGCAATCAGGGGAGCCCACAGCAGCTGCGCACGCTCGCTCTCTGTCTCTAACTCCTCAGAGAGACAGAAACATTTAAAATGAATCCCCTCAAAAGCATGGCCAGGAACGACCGAAATGAAAACCGAAAAGACCGTGAGCGTCGTCATCTTGTTGACTATAGCACTGCCGAGTTTCAGTGGCTAAAGTTAAAAAATGTGACCTGGGGAGATTGAGAGAGAAGAGGTTCAACGAGCGTGTTTCAAGAATCCTCCTCTCCTTTTTAACATGGGAGTAGATGGGGCCGTGAGAGGGCGTTGCTGGCGCATCAGTGCGTCTCCCGCCAAAACTATTTGTCTGACAGCTTCAGCAGTAGTATCACTGCGACCCCAACGGATTTACCTACGTTTCTATCTATAAATTATTTCTGTAGAGTGAAATTTGTGGCCATGACAGCAGTTTACAAATTTATTTTTCGACAAATTTTTCTCTCTCCCCACACTCTAGCGATGATGTCACGCACTCTGGCAGTTTTTTTCGGTTGGAGGTTCTCGCAATACACACCCATTCATTTTTTGGACCGGTTTTTGGCGATTTATCGGCAAACCGTTTGGCGAAATTCTTAGAAAAGTCATAGCACTCGATTCCCGGCCGAGCCGCACGTTTTGATACCTTTTTTGTGTACGTGCGACAAAAGCTCCGGGAGGAGTAGCGCGCCGAAAAACGTACGGAAGAATAATATTAACTAGAAAATTCCTAAAGCAATTTTGATTGTGCCTTGCTCTGGCCCATATGTTAATACCATGTCTAGCCATGTCTTGCTCTTTAGCACGCTAGCGCTAGCATATTAATACCATGTAATTCTCTTTAGCTAGAGCTAGCACACATAAACACATTAACCAAAGGTAGCGCTTAGCTACGTGCTAAGCGCTAGCTAAGCGCTAATCGCTAGCTAAGCGCTAATCGCTAGCTACGTGCTAATCGCTAGCTAAGTGCTAGCTTTGGTTAATGTGTTTAATTGTATAATGCTCCTGAAGGAGTGCTAATGTAAATGAAGGAACAGCTCATAGTAGGGTAAAATATTTAAGGTGTATTAAACTTACTTTGTGTTAATATTAAAATCATTCAGCCTTAAATTGTTTGCTTGTTAGCCGCCTGCTAATTATCTTTAGCTAGCCAGCTAGCGCTAGATTATTAATGCCATGTAATCCTCCCTATAGCATATTGATAACCTGTCATCCTCCTTAGCTAGCGCTAGCATATTAATATCATGTCATTCTCTTTAGTTAGCTAGCTAGAGCTAGCACACATAAACACATAAACCAAAGCTAGCGCTTAGCTACGTGCTAATCGCTAGCTAACCGCTAATCGCTAGCTAACCGCTAATCGCTAGCTACATGCTAATCGCTAGCTAAGCGCTAATCGCTAGCTGAGTGCTAGCTTTGGTTAATGTGTTTAATTGTATTATGCTCCTGAAGGAGTGCTAATGTAAATTAAGGAACAGCTCATAGTAGGGTAAAATATTTAAGGTGTATTGTTCTTATTTTGTGTTAATATTAAAATCATTCAGCTTTAAATTGTTTGTTTGTTAGCCACCTGCTAATTATCTTTAGCTAGCCAGCTAGCGCTAGCTTATTAATGTCTTGTCATTCTCTGTAGCTAGCTGTGTGTGTGTGTGTGTGTGTGTGTGTGTGTGTGAGCAGGCTTTGGTTGTCATGGCAATCAGGGGAGCCCACAGCAGCTGCGCACGCTCTCTCTCTGTCTCTAACTCCTCAGAGAGACAGAAAACATTTAAAATGAATCCCCTCAAAAGCATGGCCAGGAACGACCGAAATGAAAACCGAAAAGACCGTGAGCGTCGTCATCTTGTTGACTATAGCGCTGCCGAGTTTCAGTGGTTAAAGTTAAAAAATGTGACCTGGGGAGATTGAGAGAGAAGAGGTTCAACGAGCGTTTTTCAAGAATCCTCCTCTCCATTTTAACATGGGAGTAGATGGGGCCATGAGAGGGAGTTGCTGGCGCATCAGTGCGTCTCCCGCCAAAACTATTTGTCTGACAGCTTCAGCAGTAGTATCACTGCGACCCCAACGAATTTACCTACGTTTCTATCTATAAATTATTTCTGTACAGTGAAATTTGTGGCCATGACAGCAGTTTACAAATTTATTTTTCGACAAATTTTTCTCTCTCCCCACACTCTAGCGATGATGTCACGCACTCTGGCAGTTTTTTTCGGTTGGAGGTTCTCGCAATACACACCCATTCATTTTTTGGACCGGTTTTTGGCGATTTACCGGCGAACCGTTTGGCGAAATTCTTAGAAAAGTCATAGCACTCGATTCCCGGCCGAGCCGCACGTTTTGATACCTTTCTTGTGTACGTGCGACAAAAGCTCCGGGAGGAGTAGCGCGCCGAAAAACGTACGGAAGAATAATAATAATAACTAGAAAACCAAAGGAATTTTGTATTGTGCTTGCTTATGCACTGGCCCAATAATAAGCATGACCGATAGTAGTATTGTGCTTGCTTATGCAAGGCACAATAAATATAATAAGTATGGGAAGAGTAGTATTGTACGCTTGCTTTGCAAGGCACAATAACTAGAAAATTCCTAAAGCAATTTCTAGCTTTGGTTAATGTGTTTAATTGTATTATGCTCCTGAAGGAGTGCTAATGTAAATTAAGGAACAGCTCATAGTAGGTAAAATATTTAAGGTGTATTGTTCTTATTTTGTGTTAATATTAAAATCATTCAGCTTTAAATTGTTTGCTTGTTAGCCACCTGCTAATTATCTTTAGCTAGCCAGCTAGCGCTAGATTATTAATGCCATGTAATCCTCCCTATAGCATATTGATAACCTGTCATCCTCCTTAGCTAGCGCTAGCATATTAATATCATGTCATTCTCTTTAGCTAGCTAGCTAGAGCTAGCACACATAAACACATAAACCAAAGCTAGCGCTTAGCTACGTGCTAATCGCTAGCTAACCGCTAATCGCTAGCTACGTGCTAATCGCTAGCTAACTGCTAATCGCTAGCTACATGCTAATCGCTAGCTAAGCGCTAATCGCTAGCTAAGTGCTAGCTTTGGTTAATGTGTTTAATTGTATTATGCTCCTGAAGGAGTGCTAATGTAAATTAAGGAACAGCTCATAGTAGGGTAAAATATTTAAGGTGTATTGAACTTATTTTGTGTTAATATTAAAATCATTCAGCTTTAAATTGTTTGCTTGTTAGCCACCTGCTAATTATCTTTAGCTAGCCAGCTAGCGCTAGCTTATTAATGTCTTGTCATTCTCTGTAGCTAGCTGTGTGTGTGTGTGTGTGTGTGTGTGTGTGTGTGTGTGGGAGCAGGCTTTGGTTGTCATGGCAATCAGGGGAGCCCACAGCAGCTGCGCACGCTCTCTCTCTGTCTCTAACTCCTCAGAGAGACAGAAAACATTTAAAATGAATCCCCTCAAAAGCATGGCCAGGAACGACCGAAATGAAAACCGAAAAGACCGTGAGCGTCGTCATCTTGTTGACTATAGCACTGCCGAGTTTCAGTGGTTAAAGTTAAAAAATGTGACCTGGGGAGATTGAGAGAGAAGAGGTTCAACGAGCGTGTTTCAAGATTCCTCCTCTAAAATTTAACATGGGAGTAGATGGGGCCGTGAGAGGGAGTTGCTGGCGCATCAGTGCGTTTCCCGCCAAAACTATTTGTCTGACAGCTTCAGCAGTAGTATCACTGCGACCCCAACGGATTTACCTACGTTTCTATCTATAAATTATTTCTGTAGAGTGAAATTTGTGGCCATGACAGCAGTTTACAAATTTATTTTTCGACAAATTTTTCTCTCTCCCCACACTCTAGCGATGATGTCACGCACTCTGGCAGTTTTTTTCAGTTGGAGGTTCTCGCAATACACACCCATTCATTTTTTGGACCGGTTTTTGGCGATTTACCGGCAAACCGTTTGGCGAAATTCTTAGAAAAGTCATAGCACTAGATGTCCCCGACGAGCCGCACGTTTTGATACCTTTTTTGTGTATGTGCGACAAAAGCTCTGGGAGAAGAAGCGCGCCGAAAAACGTACGGAAGAATAATAATAAGTTTAATAATAATAAGCAGGATAGTAGTATTGTGCTTGCTTATGCAAGGCACAATAACTAGAAAATTCCTAAAGCAATTTTGATTGTGCCTTGCTCTGGCCCATATGTTAATACCATGTCTACGTGCTAACCGCTAATCGCTAGCTGTGCGCTAATTACTTTATTAATGCCATGTAATCCTCCTATAGCATATGAAACCTTCATCCTCTTAGCTAGAGCTAGCACACATAAACACATTAACCAAAGTACACTTAGCTATGCTAGCTAACCGCTAATCGCTAGCTAAGTGCTAATCCGCTAATCGCTAGCTAAGTGCTAGCTTTGGTTAATGTGTTTAATTGTATTATGCTCCTGAAGGAGTGCTAATGTAAATTAAGGAACAGCTCATAGTAGGGTAAAATATTTAAGGTGTATTGAACTTATTTTGTGTTAATATTAAAATCATTCAGCTTTAAATTGTTTGTTTGTTAGCCACCTGCTAATTATCTTTAGCTAGCCAGCTAGCGCTAGCTTATTAATGTCTTGTCATTCTCTGTAGCTAGCTGTGTGTGTGTGTGTGTGTGTGTGTGTGTGTGTGTGTGTGAGCAGGCTTTGGTTGTCATGGCAATCAGGGGAGCCCACAGCAGCTGCGCACGCTCTCTCTCTGTCTCTAACTCCTCAGAGAGACAGAAAACATTTAAAATGAATCCCCTCAAAAGCATGGCCAGGAACGACCGAAATGAAAACCGAAAAGACCGTGAGCGTCGTCATCTTGTTGACTATAGCACTGCCGAGTTTCAGTGGTTAAAGTTAAAAAATGTGACCTGGGGAGATTGAGAGAGAAGAGGTTCAACGAGCGTTTTTCAAGATTCCTCCTCTAAAATTTAACATGGGAGTAGATGGGGCCGTGAGAGGGCGTTGCTGGCGCATCAGTGCGTCTTCCCGCCAAAACTATTTGTCTGACAGCTTCAGCAGTAGTATCACTGCGACCCCAACGGATTTACCTACGTTTCTATCTATAAATTATTTCTGTAGAGTGAAATTTGTGGCCATGACAGCAGTTTACAAATTTATTTTTCGACAAATTTTTCTCTCTCCCCACACTCTAGCGATGATGTCACGCACTCTGGCAGTTTTTTTCGGTTGGAGGTTCTCGCAATACACACCCATTCATTTTTTGGACCGGTTTTTGGCGATTTATCGGCAAACCGTTTGGCGAAATTCTTAGAAAAGTCATAGCACTCGATTCCCGGCCGAGCCGCACGTTTTGATACCTTTTTTGTGTATGTGCGACAAAAGCTCCGGGAGGAGTAGCGCGCCGAAAAACGTACGGAAGAATAATAATAACTAGAAAATTCCTAAAGCAATTTTGATTGTGCCTTGCTCTGGCCCGTGACACTGGCCCATACATTACTGACACTGCCGAGTAGTTTACAGTACAATGAGGGGAGACACCCGTGTTTAATTCGGCGTCCGCGTGATCCACTAACAACCACGTATTTTAATGACAAATCGTGTTTTTTCCATCTATTGCCACGGTCTTCTCCCACTTAAATAGTGAGCCTGGTAACGAGTTGATGCGACAAAGTCGGCCAAAAAGTTGGTATTTATGTATTATATTGATGCCGAGTTAACAAGAAGACTGTTGAGATATGATGAGTTTTTTCTTGTGTTTCTACAGTTATGTGCTTTTATGTAAGCGCAAATAATTGTTAATATATGGTATTTCTTAAATGGAGTTTGGCATAATATTGTCCTGGGATAATGCAGGAAGGGTCATGGTTTAATTAAAATTGCTAAAGTAACTAAATAAGTAATAACCACAATGGTGGGAATAATAAGTATGTAGTTATAATAATAATAATAATAACAACAATAATAAGTAATGCTATCAATAATATGAATAACAATATTTATATTAATAAATAATACATAATTAAGAAAGAAAACTATTCTTACTGTGCAGTCATAGGCAGTTACAACAGTCTGAGTGTCTTCTTCCTCACAAAATAAATTTAACTTGATGTTTTATTACATTACTGAATCTGTATTACTTGTGTAATGTGTAACAAGTTGAAATAGATGGCTAATTAAGAATTTCAGTGTCTTTTGTGACGTTTAATTAGCAAAGTAATCGTTTGTCCTCTCTAGCTAGCGAGTGCTAGCACATTCATACCTTGTTCTGTCTAGCTAGCTGGCACTAGAACATTAGTAGCTTATCCTATCTAGCAAACAAAGCATATTAATTAATTAGCTAGCCTTCTTCTACCTTCTAATTCTCTTTAGGTAGCTAGCTAGAGCTAGCACACATAAACACATTAACCAAAGCTAGCGCTTAGCTATGTGCTAATCGCTAGCTAAACGCTAATCACTAGCTGTGCGCTAATCGCTAGCTAACCGCTAACCGCTAGCTAACCGCTAATCGCTAGCAAAGTGCTAGCTTTGGTTAATGTGTTTAATTGTATTATGCTCCTGAAGGAGTGCTAATATAAATTAAGGAACAGCTCATAGTAGGGTAAAATATTTGAGGTGTATTGAACTTATTTTGTGTTAATATTAAAATCATTCAGCTTTAAATTGTTTGCTTGTTAGCCACCTGTTAATTATCTTTAGCTAGCCAGCTAGCTTATTAATGCCATGTAATCCTCCCTATAGCATATTGATAACCTGTCATCCTCCTTAGCTAGGCTAGCATACTGATATCATGTCATTCTCTTTAGCTAGCTAGATAGAGCTAGCACACATAAACACATAAACCAAAGGTAGCGCTTAGCTACATGCTAATCGCAACTAGCTAACTAACGCTAGCTAACTAATCGCTAGCTAAGCGCTAATCGCTAGCTAAGTGCTAGCTTTGGTTAATGTGTTTAATTGTATTATGCTCCTGAAGGAGTGCTAATGTAAATTAAGGAACAGCTCATAGTAGGGTAAAATATTTAAGGTGTATTGAACTTATTTTGTGTTAATATTAAAATCATTCAGCTTTAAATTGTTTGCTTGTTAGCCACCTGCTAATTATCTTTAGCTAGCCAGCTAGCGCTAGCTTATTAATGTCTTGTCATTCTCTGTAGCTAGCTGTGTGTGTGTGTGTGTGTGTGTGTGTGTGTGTGTGTGTGAGCAGGCTTTGGTTGTCATGGCAATCAGGGGAGCCCACAGCAGCTGCGCACGCTCTCTCTCTGTCTCTAACTCCTCAGAGAGACAGAAACATTTAAAATGAATCCCCTCAAAAGCATGGCCAGGAACGACCGAAATGAAAACCGAAAAGACCGTGGGCGTTGTCATCTTGTTGACTATAGCACTGCCAAGTTTCAGTGGTTAAAGTTAAAAAATGTGACCTGGGGAGATTGAGAGAGAAGAGGTTCAACGAGCTCCTTTCAAGATTCGTCCTCTAAAATTTAACATGGGAGTAGATGGGGCCGTGAGAGGGTGTTGCTGGCGCATCAGTGCGTTTCCCGCCAAAACTATTTGTCTGACAGCTTCAGCAGTGGTATCACTGCGACCCCAACGAATTTACCTACGTTTCTATCTATAAATTATTTCTGTAGAGTGAAATTTGTGGCCATGACAGCAGTTTACAAATTTATTTTTCGACAAATTTTTCCCTTCTCCCCACACTCTAGCGATGATGTCACGCACTCTGGCAGTTTTTTTCAGTTGGAGGTTCTCGCAATACACACCCATTCATTTTTTGGACCGGTTTTTGGCGATTTATCGGCAAACCGTTTGGCGAAATTCTTAGAAAAGTCATAGCACTACGATTCCCGGCCGAGCCGCACGTTTTGATACCTTTTTTGTGTATGTGCGACAAAAGCTGCGGGAGAAGAAGCGCGCCGAAAAACGTACGGAAGAAGAATAATAATAAGCCCGAGGAAGAGTAGTATTGTGCTTGCTTATGCAAGGCACAATAATAAACAGGGATAATAGTATTGTGCTTGCTTATGCAAGGCACAATAACTAGAAAATTCCTAAAGCAATTTTGATTGTGCCTTGCTCTGGCCCATATGTTAATACCATGTCTACGTGCTAACCGCTAAATTAGCTGTGCGCTAATCGCTAGCTAACGCTAATCGCTAGCTAGCTAATCGCTAGCTAAGTGCTACCGCTAATCGCTAGCTAAGTGCTAGCTTTGGTTAATGTGTTTAATTGTATTATGCTCCTGAAGGAGTGCTAATGTAAATTAAGGAACAGCTCATAGTAGGGTAAAATATTTAAGGTGTATTGTACTTATTTTGTGTTAATATTAAAATCATTCAGCTTTAAATTGTTTGCTTGTTAGCCACCTGCTAATTATCTTTAGCTAGCCAGCTAGCGCTAGATTATTAATGCCATGTAATCCTCCCTATAGCATATTGATAACCTGTCATCCTCCTTAGCTAGCGCTAGCATATTAATATCATGTCATTCTCTTTAGCTAGCTAGCTAGAGCTAGCACACATAAACACATAAACCAAAGGTAGCGCTTAGCTACGTGCTAATCGCTAGCTAACCGCTAATCGCTAGCTACATGCTAATCGCTAGCTACATGCTAATCGCTAGCTAAGCGCTAATCGCTAGCTAAGTGCTAGCTTTGGTTAATGTGTTTAATTGTATTATGCTCCTGAAGGAGTGCTAATGTAAATTAAGGAACAGCTCATAGTAGGGTAAAATATTTAAGGTGTATTGTTCTTATTTTGTGTTAATATTAAAATCATTCAGCTTTAAATTGTTTGCTTGTTAGCCACCTGCTAATTGTCTTTAGCTAGCCAGCTAGCGCTAGCTTATTAATGTCTTGTCATTCTCTGTAGCTAGCTGTGTGTGTGTGTGTGTGTGTGTGTGTGTGTGTGTGGGGCAGGCTTTAGGTTGTCATGGCAATCAGGGGAGCCCACAGCAGCTGCGCACGCTCTCTCTCTGTCTCTAACTCCTCAGAGAGACAGAAAACATTTAAAATGAATCCCCTCAAAAGCATGGCCAGGAACGACCGAAATGAAAACCGAAAAGACCGTGAGCGTCGTCATCTTGTTGACTATAGCACTGCCGAGTTTCAGTGGCTAAAGTTAAAAAATGTGACCTGGGGAGATTGAGAGAGAAGAGGTTCAACGAGCGTGTTTCAAGAATCCTCCTCTCCATTTTAACATGGGAGTAGATGGGGCCGTGAGAGGGCGTTGCTGGCGCATCAGTGCGTCTCCCGCCAAAACTATTTGTCTGACAGCTTCAGCAGTAGTATCACTGCGACCCCAACGGATTTACCTACGTTTCTATCTATAAATTATTTCTGTAGAGTGAAATTTGTGGCCATGACAGCAGTTTACAAATTTATTTTTCGACAAATTTTTCTCTCTCCCCACACTCTAGCGATGATGTCACGCACTCTGGCAGTTTTTTTCGGTTGGAGGTTCTCGCAATACACACCCATTCATTTTTTGGACCGGTTTTTGGCGATTTACCGGCAAACCGTTTGGCGAAATTCTTAGAAAAGTCATAGCACTCGATTCCCGGCCGAGCCGCACGTTTTGATACCTTTCTTGTGTATGTGCGACAAAAGCTGCGGGAGGAGTAGCGCGCCGAAAAACGTACGGAAGAATAATAAGTTTAAACTAGAAAATTCCTAAAGCAATTTTGATTGTGCCTTGCTCTGGCCCATATGTTAATACCATGTCTACGTGCTAACCGCTATAACGCTAGCTAATCGCTAGCTATGCGCTAATCGCTAGCTAAGCTAATCGCTAGCTAGTGCTAACCGCTAATCGCTAGCTAAGTGCTAGCTTTGGTTAATGTGTTTAATTGTATTATGCTCCTGAAGGAGTGCTAATGTAAATTAAGGAACAGCTCATAGTAGGGTAAAATATTTAAGGTGTATTGTTCTTATTTTGTGTTAATATTAAAATCATTCAGCTTTAAATTGTTTGCTTGTTAGCCACCTTCTAATTATCTTTAGCTAGCCAGCTAGCGCTAGATTATTAATGCCATGTAATCCTCCCTATAGCATATTGATAACCTGTCATCCTCCTTAGCTAGCGCTAGCATATTAATATCATGTCATTCTCTTTAGCTAGCTAGCTAGAGCTAGCACACATAAACACATAAACCAAAGCTAGCGCTTAGCTACGTGCTAATCGCTAGCTACTGCTAATCGCTAGCTAACCGCTAAGCTAACTAGCTACGTGCTAATCGCTAGCTAACTGCTAATCGCTAGCTACATGCTAATCGCTAGCTAAGCGCTAATCGCTAGCTAAGTGCTAGCTTTGGTTAATGTGTTTAATTGTATTATGCTCCTGAAGGAGTGCTAATGTAAATTAAGGAACAGCTCATAGTAGGGTAAAATATTTAAGGTGTATTGAACTTATTTTGTGTTAATATTAAAATCATTCAGCTTTAAATTGTTTGTTTGTTAGCCACCTGCTAATTATCTTTAGCTAGCCAGCTAGCGCTAGCTTATTAATGTCTTGTCATTCTCTGTAGCTAGCTGTGTGTGTGTGTGTGTGTGTGTGTGTGTGTGTGTGTGGAGCAGGCTTTGGTTGTCATGGCAATCAGGGGAGCCCACAGCAGCTGCGCACGCTCTCTCTGTCTCTAACTCCTCAGAGAGACAGAAAACATTTAAAATGAATCCCCTCAAAAGCATGGCCAGGAACGACCGAAATGAAAACCGAAAACACCGTGGGCGTCGTCATCTTGTTGACTATAGCACTGCCGAGTTTCAGTGGCTAAAGTTAAAAAATGTGACCTGGGGAGATTGAGAGAGAAGAGGTTCAACGAGCGTTTTTCAAGATTCCTCCTCTAAAATTTAACATGGGAGTAGATGGGGCCGTGAGAGGGCGTTGCTGGCGCATCAGTGCGTCTCCCGCCAAAACTATTTGTCTGACAGCTTCAGCAGTAGTATCACTGCGACCCCAACGGATTTACCTACGTTTCTATCTATAAATTATTTCTGTAGAGTGAAATTTGTGGCCATGACAGCAGTTTACAAATTTATTTTTCGACAAATTTTTCTCTCTCCCCACACTCTAGCGATGATGTCACGCACTCTGGCAGTTTTTTTCAGTTGGAGGTTCTCGCAATACACACCCATTCATTTTTTGGACCGGTTTTTGGCGATTTATCGGCAAACCGTTTGGCGAAATTCTTAGAAAAGTCATAGCACTCGATGTCCCGGCCGAGCCGCACGTTTTGATACCTTTTTTGTGTATGTGCGACAAAAGCTGCGGGAGAAGAAGCGCGCCGAAAAAGTACGGAAGAATAATAATATATAAGCCCGAAAATTTAAAGTATATTATTGTGCTTGCTTATGCAAGGCACAATAACTAGAAAATTCCTAAAGCAATTTTGATTGTGCCTTTGCTCTGGCCCATATGTTAATACCATGTCTACGTGCTAACCGCTAATCGCTAGCTGTGCGCTAATCGCTAGCTAAGTGCTGACCTATGCTAATCGCTAGCTAAGTGCTAGCTTTGGTTAATGTGTTTAATTGTATTATGCTCCTGAAGGAGTGCTAATGTAAATTAAGGAACAGCTCATAGTAGGGTAAAATATTTAAGGTGTATTGTTCTTATTTTGTGTTAATATTAAAATCATTCAGCTTTAAATTGTTTGTTTGTTAGCCACCTGCTAATTATCTTTAGCTAGCCAGCTAGCGCTAGATTATTAATGCCATGTAATCCTCCCTATAGCATATTGATAACCTGTCATCCTCCTTAGCTAGCGCTAGCATATTAATATCATGTCATTCTCTTTAGCTAGCTAGCTAGAGCTAGCACACATAAACACATAAACCAAAGCTAGCGCTAGCTAGTGCTAATCGCATAAACTACATAAACCAAAGCTAGCGCTAACTAGCTACGTGCTAATCGCTAGCTAACCGCTAATCGCTAGCTACGTGCTAATCGCTAACCGCTAATCGCTAGCTACATGCTAATCGCTAGCTAAGCGCTAATCGCTAGCTAAGTGCTAGCTTTGGTTAATGTGTTTAATTGTATTATGCTCCTGAAGGAGTGCTAATGTAAATTAAGGAACAGCTCATAGTAGGGTAAAATATTTAAGGTGTATTGTTCTTATTTTGTGTTAATATTAAAATCATTCAGCTTTAAATTGTTTGTTTGTTAGCCACCTGCTAATTATCTTTAGCTAGCCAGCTAGCGCTAGCTTATTAATGTCTTGTCAGCCTCTGTAGCTAGCTGTGTGTGTGTGTGTGTGTGTGTGTGTGTGTGTGTGTGGCAGGCTTTGGTTGTCATGGCAATCAGGGGAGCCCACAGCAGCTGCGCACGCTCTCTCTCTGTCTCTAACTCCTCAGAGAGACAGAAACATTTAAAATGAATCCCCTCAAAAGCATGGCCAGGAACGACCGAAATGAAAACCGAAAAGACCGTGAGCGTCGTCATCTTGTTGACTATAGCGCTGCCGAGTTTCAGTGGTTAAAGTTAAAAAATGTGACCTGGGGAGATTGAGAGAGAAGAGGTTCAACGAGCGTTTTTCAAGATTCCTCCTCTCCATTTTAACATGGGAGTAGATGGGGCCGTGAGAGGGAGTTGCTGGCGCATCAGTGCGTTTCCCGCCAAAACTATTTGTCTGACAGCTTCAGCAGTAGTATCACTGCGACCCCAACGGATTTACCTACGTTTCTATCTATAAATTATTTCGGTAGAGTGAAATTTGTGGCCATGACAGCAGTTTACAAATTTATTTTTCGACAAATTTTTCTCTCTCCCCACACTCTAGCGATGATGTCACGCACTCTGGCAGTTTTTTTCAGTTGGAGGTTCTCGCAATACACACCCATTCATTTTTTGGACCGGTTTTTGGCGATTTACCGGCAAACCGTTTGGCGAAATTCTTAGAAAAGTCATAGCACTAGATGTCCCGGCCGAGCCGCACGTTTTGATACCTTTTTTGTGTATGTGCGACAAAAGCTCCGGGAGAAGAAGCGCGCCGAAAAACGTACGGAAGAATAAAATATTATAACTAGAAAATTCCTAAAGCAATTTTGATTGTGCCTTGCTCTGGCCCGTGACACTGGCCCATACATTACTGACACTGCCGAGTAGTTTACAGTACAATGAGGGGAGACACCCGTGTTTAATTCGGCGTCCGCGTGATCCACTAACAACCACGTATTTTAATGACAAATCTTGTTTTTTCCATCTATTGCCACGATCTTCTCCCACTGAAATAGTGAGGCCGGTAACGAGTTGATGCGACAAAGTCGGCCAAAAAGTTGGTATTTATGTATTATATTGATGCCGAATTAACAAGAAGACTGTTGAGATATGATGAGTTTTTTCTTGTGTTTCTACAGTTATGTGCTTTTATGTAAGCGCAAATAATTGTTAACATATGGTATTTCTTAAATGGAGTTTGGCATAATATTGTCCTGGGATAATGCAGGAAGGGTCATGGTTTAATTAAAATTGCTAAAGTAACTAAATAAGTAATAACCACAATGGTGGGAATAATAAGTATGTAGTTATAATAATAATAATGATAATAATAGTAATAATAATAATAACAATAATAAGTAATGCTATCAATAACATGAATAACAATATTTATATTAATAAATAATACATAATTAAGAAAGAAAACTATTCTTACTGTGCAGTCATAGGCAGTTACAACAGTCTGAGTGTCTTCTTCCTCACAAAATAAATCTAACTTGATGTTTTATTACATTACTAAATCTGTATTACTTGTGTCATGTGTAACAAGTTGAAATAGATGGCTAATTAAGAATTTCAGTGTCTTTTGTGACGTTTAATTAGCACAGTAATCCTTTGTCCTCTCTAGCTAGCGAGTGCTAGCACATTCATACCTTGTTCTGTCTAGCTAGCTTGTGCTAGAACATTAGTAGCTTATCCTCTCTAGCAAGCAAGGCATTTAAATTAATTAGCTAGCCTTCTAATACCTTCTTCTACCTACTAATTCTCTTTAGCTAGCTAGCTAGAGCTAGCACACATAAACACATTAACCAGAGCTGGCGCTAAACTACGTGCTAATCGCTAGCTAACCGCTAATCGCTAGCTATGTGCTAATCGCTAGCTATGCGCTAATCGCTAGCTAAGCGCTAATCGCTAGCTAAGTGCTAGCTTTGGTTAATTTGTTTAATTGTATTATGCTCCTGAAGGAAAGCTAATGTAAATTAAGGAACAGCTCATAGTAGGGTAAAATATTTAAGGTGTATTGAACTTATTTTGTGTTAATATTAAAATCATTCAGCTTTAAATTGTTTGTTTGTTAGCCACCTTCTAATTATCTTTAGCTAGCCAGCTAGCTAGCGCTAGCTTATTAATGCCTTGTCATTCTCTGTAGCTAGCTGTGTGTGTGTGTGTGTGTGTGTGTGTGTGTGTGTGTGGGGGGAGCAGGCTTTGGTTGTCATGGCAATCAGGGGAGCCCACAGCAGCTGCGCACGCTCTCTCTCTGTCTCTAACTCCTCAGAGAGACAGAAACATTTAAAATGAATCCCCTCAAAAGCATGGCCAGGAACGACCGAAATGAAAACCGAAAAGACCGTGGGCGTCGTCATCTTGTTGACTATAGCACTGCCGAGTTTCAGTGGCTAAAGTTAAAAAATGTGACCTGGGGAGATTGAGAGAGAAGAGGTTCAACGAGCGTTTTTCAAGATTCCTCCTCTAAAATTAACATGGGAGTAGATGGGGCCGTGAGAGGGCGTTGCTGGCGCATCAGTGCGTCTCCCGCCAAAACTATTTGTCTGACAGCTTCAGCAGTAGTATCACTGCGACCCCAACGGATTTACCTACGTTTCTATCTATAAATTATTTCTGTAGAGTGAAATTTGTGGCCATGACAGCAGTTTACAAATTTATTTTTCGACAAATTTTTCCCTCTCCCCACACTCTAGCGATGATGTCACGCACTCTGGCAGTTTTTTTCAGTTGGAGGTTCTCGCAATACACACCCATTCATTTTTTGGACCGGTTTTTGGCGATTTATCGGCAAACCGTTTGGCGAAATTCTTAGAAAAGTCATAGCACTCGATTCCCGGCCGAGCCGCACGTTTTGATACCTTTTTTGTGTATGTGCGACAAAAACTGCGGGAGAAGAAGCGCGCCGAAAAACAGGCGGAAGAATAATAAGAAAACCTAGAAAATTCCTAAAGCAATTTTGATTGTGCCTTGCTCTGGCCCATATGTTAATACCATGTCTACGTGCTAACCGCTATTTAACCGCTAATCGCTAGCTGTGCGCTAATCGCTAGCTAAGTGCTAACCGCTAGTTGCTAGCCAAGTGCTAGCTGTGGTTAATGTGTTTAATTGTATTATGCTCCTGAAGGAGTGCTAATGTAAATTAAGGAACAGCTCATAGTAGGGTAAAATATTTAAGGTGTATTGAACTTATTTTGTGTTAATATTAAAATCATTCAGCTTTAAATTGTTTGTTTGTTAGCCACCTGCTAATTATCTTTAGCTAGCCAGCTAGCGCTAGATTATTAATGCCATGTAATCCTCCCTATAGCATATTGATAACCTGTCATCCTCCTTAGCTAGCGCTAGCATATTAATATCATGTCATTCTCTTTAGCTAGCTAGCTAAAGCTAGCACATATAAACACATAAACCAAAGGTAGTGCTTAGCTACATGCTAATCGCTAGCTATCCGCTAATCGCTAGCTACATGCTAATCGCTAGCTAAGCGCTAATCGCTAGCTGTGCGCTAATCGCTAGCTAACCGCTAATCGCTAGCTAAGTGCTAGCTCTGGTTAATGTGTTTAATTGTATTATGCTCCTGAAGGAGTGCTAATGTAAATTAAGGAACAGCTCATAGTAGGGTAAAATATTTAAGGTGTATTGTTCTTATTTTGTGTTAATATTAAAATCATTCAGCTTTAAATTGTTTGCTTGTTAGCCACCTGCTAATTATCTTTAGCTAGCCAGCTAGCCAGCTAGCTTATTAATGTCTTGTCATTCTCTGTAGCTAGCTGTGTGTGTGTGTGTGTGTGTGTGTGTGAGCAGGCTTTGGTTGTCATGGCAATCAGGGGAGCCCACAGCAGCTGCGCACGCTCTCTCTGTCTCTAACTCCTCAGAGAGACAGAAAACAATTAAAACGAATCCCCTCAAAAGCATGGCCAGGAACGACCGAAATGAAAACCGAAAAGACCGTGAGCGTCGTCATCTTGTTGACTATAGCGCTGCCGAGTTTCAGTGGTTAAAGTTAAAAAATGTGACCTGGACAGATTGAGAGAGAAGAGGTTCAACGAGCGTTTTTCAAGATTTGTCCTCTAAAATTAACATGGGAGTAGATGGGGCCGTGAGAGGGTGTTGCTGGCGCATCAGTGCGTCTCCCGCCAAAACTATTTGTCTGACAGCTTCAGCAGTAGTATCACTGCGACCCCAACGGATTTACCTACGTTTCTATCTATAAATTATTTCTGTAGAGTGAAATTTGTGGCCATGACAGCAGTTTACAAATTTATTTTTCGACAAATTTTTCCCTTCTCCCCACACTCTAGCGATGATGTCACGCACTCTGGCAGTTTTTTTCAGTTGGAGGTTCTCGCAATACACACCCATTCATTTTTTTACCGGTTTTTGGCGATTTACCGGCAAACCGTTTGGCGAAATTCTTAGAAAAGTCATAGCACTCGATTCCCGGCCGAGCCGCACGTTTTGATACCTTTCTTGTGTATGTGCGACAAAAGCTCCGGGAGAAGTAGGCGCCCGAAAAACGTACGGAAGAATAAAATATAATAAGCCCGAGGGAGAGTAGTATTGTGCTTGCTTATGCAAGGCACAATAATAAGCCCGAGGGATAATAGTATTGTGCTTGCTTATGCAAGGCACAATAATAAGCCCGAGGATAGTAGTATTGTGCTTGCTTATGCAAGGCACAATAATAAGTATGGGGAATAATAGTATTGTGCTTGCTTATGCAAGGCACAATAATAAGTATGGGGAATAATAGTATTGTGCTTGCTTATGCAAGGCACAATAACTAGAAAATTCCTAAAGCAATTTTGATTGTGCCTTGCTCTGGCCCGTGACACTGGCCCATACATTACTGACACTGCCGAGTAGTTTACAGTACAATGAGGGGAGACACCTGTGTTTAATTCGGCGTCCGCGTGATCCACTAACAACCACGTATTTTAATGATAAATCTTGTTTTTTCCATCTATTGCCACGGTCTTCCCACATCCCACTGAAATAGTGAGGCTGGTAACGAGTTGATGCGACAAAGTCGGCCAAAAAGTTGGTATTTATGTATTATATTGATGCCGAGTTAACAAGAAGACTGTTGAGATATGATGAGTTTTTTCTTGTGTTTCTACAGTTATGTGCTTTTATGTAAGCGCAAATAATTGTTAATATATGGTATTTCTTAAATGGAGTTTGGCATAATATTGTCCTGGGATAATGCAGGAAGGGTCATGGTTTAATTAAAATTGCTAAAGTAACTAAATAAGTAATAACCACAATGGTGGGAATAATAAGTATGTAGTTATAATAATAATCATAAAAATAACAACAATAATAAGTAATGCTATCAATAATATGAATAACAATATTTATATTAATAAATAATACATAATTAAGAAAGAAAACTATTCTTACTGTGCAGTCATAGGCAGTTACAACAGTCTGAGTGTCTTCTTCCTCACAAAATAAATCTATCTTGATGTTTTATTACATTAGTAAATCTGTATAACTTGTGTCAGGTGTAACAAGTTGAAATAGATGGCTAATTAAGAATTGCTGTGTCTTTTGTGACGTTTAATTAGCACAGTAATCCTTTGTCCTCTCTAGCTAGCGAGTGCTAGCACATTCATACCTTGTTCTGTCTAGCTAGCTTGCGCTAGAACATTAGTAGCTTGTCCTCTCTAGCAAGCAGAGCATATTAATTAATTAGCTAGCCTTCTAATACCTTCTTCTATCTTCTAATTCTTTTGCTAGCATTTTAATACCCTCTAATTCTCTTTAGGTAGCTAGCTAGAGCTAGCAAACATAAACACATTAACCAGAGCTAGCGCTTAGCTACGTGCTAATCGCTAGCTAACCGCTAATCGCTAGCTAAGCGCTAATCGCTAGCTAAGTGCTAGCTTTGGTTAATGTGTTTAATTGTATTATGCTCCTGAAGGAGTGCTAATGTAAATTAAGGAACAGCTCATAGTAGGGTAAAATATTTAAGGTGTACTGAACTTATTTTGTGTTAATATTAAAATCATTCAGCTTTAAATTGTTTGTTTGTTAGCCACCTGCTAATTATCTTTAGCTAGCCAGCTAGCGCTAGCTTATTAATAGCTTAAATGCTCCTCTGAAGCTAGCTGTGTGTGTGTGTGTGTGTGTGTGTGAGCAGGCTTTGGTTGTCATGGCAATCAGGGGAGCCCACAGCAGCTGCGCGCGCTCTCTCTCTGTCTCTAACTCCTCAGAGAGACAGAAACATTTAAAATGAATCCCCTCAAAAGCATGGCCAGGAACGACCGAAATGAAAACCGAAAAGACCGTGAGCGTCGTCATCTTGTTGACTATAGCACTGCCGAGTTTCAGTGGCTAAAGTTAAAAAATGTGACCTGGGGAGATTGAGAGAGAAGAGGTTCAACGAGCGTGTTTCAAGTTTCTCCTCTACATTTTAACATGGGAGTAGATGGGGCCGTGAGAGGGCGTTGCTGGCGCATCAGTGCGTTTCCCGCCAAAACTATTAGTCTGACAGCTTCAGCAGTAGTATCACTGCGACCCCAACGAATTTACCTACGTTTCTATCTATAAATTATTTCTGTAGAGTGAAATTTGTGGCCATGACAGCAGTTTACAAATTAATTTTTCGACAAATTTTTCTCTCTCCCCACACTCTAGCGATGATGTCACGCACTCTGGCAGTTTTTTTCAGTTGGAGGTTCTCGCAATACACACCCATTCATTTTTTGGACCGGTTTTTGGCGATTTATCGGCAAACCGTTTGGCGAAATTCTTAGAAAAGTCATAGCACTAATGTCCTCATCGAGCCGCACGTTTTGATACCTTTTTTGTGTATGTGCGACAAAAGCTGCGGGAGAAGAAGCGCGCCGAAAAACGTACGGAAGAAGAATAATAATATTAAGCCCGAGGAATAATAGTATTGTGCTTGCTTATGCAAGGCACAATAATTATCATCAGACACTAAAACAACAGGGTTGCATCCCCTTCAGGGATTGAACGGCTAATACAGGATCAAAGAAACTTGCAAAGGGCAATAAAAAAAAAAAAATAGGAAAACAGTGGCAGACAACTTCTTGCTCTGTGCACAGTGAACTACAAATAAATGCAGTTCCAGCTATTTTTGCCTGTAATATCCTAAAATGCCACAAGATGGCGCCAAAAAGCCACACCAAAATAACCTGTGATACCCTGCTTTGGTGTTCAGTTTGGACTACAGCAGGGACTAGGGGAGAGGGGGCAAGTAAAGAGCACTTAAATCAGGCCAGCATAGATAGATACTCAAAGATCATGACATTGTGTTAGCCTTAACATATTAGTTCATTCATTTTCAATTTAATTTTCACCTTTTCTAAAACAGGTCATGTGGCAACTTTTAAAACATTTACCAGTTAATTTGCTACTTTCTTTTATGTTTCGTAAAAAAAGTGAGTGAATTAATATATTAACACATTTAACATAACTGAGGTGGTAGAAGTACACACATTCTATACTCCAGAAGAAGTACAGACACGAATGTAAAAAGACTCCGGTAAAAGCAGAAATACTGATTCTTTACTTAAAGTTCAAAAGTACAAGTTCAAATAGTATTATTAACTGTTTTAAATTTGAATTTGTTTTTAAGATACATGTTTTCCTATAGAAGAAAAGTAATTATAATAATTTGTTTATTTCAAAACTTAAAATTGGACTTAAAATTTCCAGTGTTAAGTTTTGAAATACACCAATATATTTGTATATGCATTGGCACAACTGCTCAGAGGAAAGGTGTGTTTTACTCACCGATGACGTAGGACAGCAGCAGGTTCCAGCCAGTCACAAATGCCCACACCTCTCCTACGGTCACATAGCTGTAAAGGTAAGCTGAGCCTGTCTTGGGGACCCTGGCTCCAAACTCCGCATAACACAACCCTGCGAAGACCGAAGCCAAAGCTGCAACCAGGAAGGAGATAATGATGCTGGGGCCGGACACTTCTCTGGCCACCTCTCCTGACAGCACGTAGACGCCAGCTCCAAGCGTGCTGCCAACACCCAGACCCACCAGGTCCAAGGTGGTCAGGCATCGGCAGAAGTTGGACTCCTCGCCTTCTGGCTCCAGAGGCTTCTTTCGGGTCAGGGTCCGAATGAAACGTAACACTTTGGCACAAGTGATTCTGAAACCAGCAACTCTAGAACTATCAAAAGAAAAGTACAGAAATTAAAAGATTAATGCATGTAAAAACTGGTGTTAAAGAAATATTGTTTGTGAGCATCATTAAACTGTAAAACCTCACAACACATCTTAATATAAGAAGTACGTTACCAGAAATTACAGGTAATGTAATAGTTTGCTTTAGTGGAAGAAAACTGAAGCGTTTAAGTTAATTCAGATAAATTCTGTTAACATTTGTTTAGATATGTTTGCATTTAAGTGTAAAGCTAATATTGACTTCAGTTAATTGAATGGAAGTGGTACAATTAACTTAAGTTATTGTAAGAAATACTTCTACTCAAATACCTTTCATGCTTAAATTGTTGTTGAGTTAATAAACTTAAACTGTTTAAGGCGATCGGTGTCCTCTAACAGTTTAAGTTGAACTAACTCATCAGCTTTTACAGTATCTGACCTGTGTTAAAATGTCCCTCTGTGGTTAAACCTGGCTGAAATAACTCCTAATCTTAATTAACAACTCAGTAAACCACAATAAAATCAATCGTTATGATCTGAAGGGCCTCAGCATGCTGTTGAACAAAGCTCTGTCACAGATAAAGAAACCGTACCTGTTAGCTGTTTCCATGCCGGTGTGCTCAGACTGCCGTCAACATTTGGAAAAATTAAAAACTAGCTTGTGTGCTCTGCGGCTGCTGGTGTGAGATGGACAGAGAAAGACAAACAGAAGACAAACACTTGTTTCTTCTTCAGTCAGCAGATTGCCTCCAGCCCTGCTGCCTGCTGCCGGTGAACACCTGAAATCAGTTCAGGCAATCACTGTGCTCATAACAGGGTCCATCTACAACTGTCCTTAAAGACAATGTGAGGAGCAAATCTCTGAACTTTTTTTTGATTTTGTTGGTAAAATCAAGCAATGCTGCTGCTCTTGTTATTACAATATGCCTTTTTAAAAATTAATATTAAATGATCAACAAAAGTAATAATACTGCTAAAATGCACAATGTTAAACAATTTACATGACTTAATTAAATGAATACTGTAAGGTTTTGAAATTGTTCTTAAGCAAAAGATTCTGTGGACATTCAGTCTGACAGGTGATACAGCTGCAGCCATAAATACTGATGCTGTAGAAGAAGGTTTTCTCATTTGGCAGCTTCGCCTCCTGTGTCCTTGAATCTCTCTCACCTCCTTGCTGGGAGGATCTAAGACATGAGGAAAGGAAGCGAGTTAGGGAAACGAGGAGACGCATTAGCGTAATAAAAGAGCACCCTAGGAATTGAGACATCCTTCAAGATGGCGCACTGAGGATGATTTCTGGGTCACAGGCAGGTCAGAGAAAACGAGGAGGCACAAATTAGAGAAATGAGAAAGGCCAGATGAAAAGCACCCATACATACTGCCATTTCCTGTTAATCCTGTCAGAACAAAATACAGCCACCAAAATAAAGGCTAACTTCCTGTCTGTGTTGCAGTGTGCAGCAGCAGAATGCAACACACTTCAGTCCTATAAAGTCCAGAGAAGATGAGACAGAATCTCTTTCTGGAGGAATCTGTAGTTCCAGATGTTCCAGATGTGAAGCTGCTTTTACTCCCAAAGACAAAGATAGGAAATAAGTCCAAACTGTAACATTAGGGCAAAATGATCTCTACCTGTTGATATTTGGATGATTCCCAAACACTGAAAGCAGCCTGTAATCTGTTTCACTTCAACTGACAGGATGCACTTTATGTTTGTGACACCAGAGGGAGCCAAATCCTCCTCCATTAATGAGGAGCACTCCTCATTTAAAGGAGATCTCAGCTCCATTATTCAGTCATTCTTCTCCAGAGTAATCATCAGTGACTCATTCACATGTGACACATTTCTGTCTGTATGTGTCATTCATTTTACTGCTGGAAAGGAACCAAGTACATTTACTCAACTACTGCACTGTACTACAGTACTTGTACATTACTCTCTACTTGTACTGCACTACATCTCAGAGAGACATCTTCCACTACATTTATCTGACAGCTTTAGTTACTTTACAAATCAAAGTCTCCCACCCACACAGCTGTTTTCACCTACTGGCTGATATGAAGTTGAGTGGAGCTATGCTGGGAATTATGGGATGTCACCAAACTATCTGCACTAACTAGGTGAGTTGCCCTGCTCCCAGTAAGTGCAACAACAACAACAACAACAACAACAACAACTAAGTGGAGTGATGAATGTATTAATGGATGTATTTATTAAAGTTCTGGACAGGAAGTCTAACTCATATTGTCTTGGGGCCGCTGCTGGTATTGTCATCTCAATGGTGCCCGGTGTGAGGCATAATACGAGTAGGAGTACATAGTTACTGAGAGAGATAAAGCATGTGATTAGTTTATAGAATCTGATGCATTGTTACAGATTCAACCACCAACCGTATCTAGACGAGTTAAAATGATCTCTACCTAGACTACAATAACACTAACGTACTTGTTAAACATGAATGCATCAGCAGTAATAATCCAATAATATCATATATAGCAGTGTAACACTGACAGGGGACACTTTTATTAATTATTTGTACTTAACTTTTGATACTTTAGTGTTATTTTTAATGCAGGAATTTTACTTGGAGTCATCAGCAGGTTTCCTTCTTTAAAACTTTATTGAACAAGAACAACACAGACAGACAGAAATCATACAGCGTGGTGAAATCAGGACATGAATATTAAAGATTTTTTTTTATAAAGTAGATAAATTGAAGGAGCTGTTTGGCATTTGAACAAAGGTTTTAAGTTCAGTTTCAGACTCAAAGTTGAATATTTGTTCACACTCTAATATTTGAGTCATAAAAACACTTTCCCTCTAACTGTGGTTTCAAAAAGAAGATTTGAAAAACAAGCAGCCACATTTAATTGATGATTGATTGATGAGTTATCCCTACGTCTGCAGGCTGCACACATGATCCCAGCATCTTTTGCTCTTCTCTTCCTTCAGCCTCCTCTTCCTCATCTATTACAGTAAACACATCAGGTTGGTACAAACTAACATCAGCTGTGTGTGATCCTGTACAGACTGAACTATCTGGTCAGCAGTGAGAAAGTTTGTCTCTCCCTCCTACAGAGGACACAGAGACACTGAGGAACCAGACCTGAACCAGAACCTGAACCCGAACCCAGGATAAAGAGGTTCAATGAATGTGGTGCTGAAGGTGTGGAGGTGGATCAATGTGTCAGAGGAGACTGTGTAGAAGGACAGAGTGCCAGCAGGACAGTCCACATACACTGCTACTCTACCAGAGGAGGAGGAGGAGGAGGAGGAGGAGGAGATGGATGTTCTTTTCTTGTTGTGACAGACAGAGTAACGACCATCAGAGCACTCCACACACCAGGACTGATCATTCCACCCAAACGCGCAGTCTTCACTGTCTCCTCTCCTCCTGATTCCTCTGTAACTCACTGATATATAAACTCTTCCTCTCCACTCGACCTCCCAGTAACAGCGACCAGTCAGACCAGTTCTACACAGCAGCAGAGGACAGTAGTCAAATCTGTCTGGATGATCAGGATATGTCTGATACTCCATCACATATGTCATCTTCCTGTTGTTGTCAGACAGTTGGATCTTTCTGTGTACTGTGTTTGTGTCGACTGTGAGTTCACAGGAATCTGATGGAGAGAACAAGACACAATACAGCTGCAGTTATTGATCTATCATCTGATCATTGATTGACACTTTGATGATGACATCAGAGCTGTGAATGAGTGATGTCACAGTCTGAAAATGGTTGAATGTGTGCTGCTTTGTTTTCATGAATCAAATTACATCAGGTGACCTGTAGACAAGATGACTGCTTAGAACTATGTTCATAAAATAGCAGAAAAAAGGAACACCAAAAGAACATGACAGAAAACGGGTGTATGTATCTTTTAGGACCTTCGTTCAGAGCCCACTCTTACCATAATAATAATTCCGTATTCGCGAAAAGCTGCATTTTACCTGTTACGTTACTCCAGTCTTTGAGTCCTCTTTTTCTAACTTTTAACTATTATTCTCTTTTTGTTCATTCTTATCTTTTCACTGTAACTCTATGAAGTCCTGCCCTCTCTAACAATGTTGTTTGAGAGAGTTTTTGTGTTTTGTTTTCGTGTTTTAATACCACTTCCACCGGGACACGCTGCCTTTGTTTACTCCGCAGAACAGCTGATCGCACTGATGCAGGCCGGCACCTGGAGAAAACACACCGAGGATGCAGAGGAGGGAAGCAACGTCGGGGGAAGAGAGGAGGGTGGAGACGGGACAGGGGCTAATGGAGAAGGAGAAGATTTAAGCCGTGTCTCCCCTCTCTTGTTATAATAAATGTACGGTCTCTTAGCAAAAAAAATGGATGAGTTAACCCTTGCAGGACATAAAGTTTCTGTACTCGTGCTTGTCGTAAGGCAATAAACTCCAAAGAAAATCCAAGAAGGAAACGAGGCCAATGTAAAAAAGAAAAATGCTGTGATTTATTCTCAAAATATAATCCACTTTAAACAAAAATAAAAGTTTCCAAGCAAAATCCTGGGTATCCGGTCTGTCACCTCAAACTAATAAGAAAACAGAAACTAACAGAAAAAATTTGTTTCTTATGCCTAAATGACGGTTAAGCTACGGTCAGAAAATTGTTGCTCCCGTCCTGCTCCGATAACTTAATTACCAAGCCGCGATGCCAACAGGTGCCCACATGGCTAGTTTACTACAGTTCACTACAATAAGCTGTGCTTTACGGCAGTATCGGTTTGTAGTAGCAGGACAAAATAAGGGCAACAAAACCTTATTTACTGAATAGACATTAAATACATTAAGATGAAACAAAATATCAGTTATGATTCATCCTTATAAATTAAAGCAAAATAGATATTAACTCATTAGGCACAAAATGCAAACATAAGTGTGTTTGTTGACATTAGAACAGCTGTAGCCAGAACGGGAGCCGGGAGGAGAAGCGGCAGCCCGCTACACAGTGGAAACTGGCACCGCGTTCAGCGGTAGTTTAGTAATCCACGGTAGTACTGTTGTGTAGGAACCGTGACGTTTTGGCACAGCGAGTACCATGCAACACTAAATGTTTAAATCACAGCCCTACGTTGTATACGCCTCCCTGTAATTCACTCACTCATTAGGCTACTCTGCTCAGGCCGTGACTAGCAGAGACAACCATGTTGCTGCTGATCAGTGTGCTTGCAGCAGCAGGGCATTATAGTTCATTACTTGTGTTGTTGTTGTTGTTGTTGTTGTTGTTGTGAATGTACGGCAGGCTGTAGCCAACGATATATAGCGCAATTCATTACTTATGGGAAACGTTTCAAGAGCAATAGGCCCCGCCCATCAAGTGCAGTTGAATTCGCAAGCAAAACTTTTGAATTTGCAAGCAAAGAGGACGCAAAATGGTCGTATGTTTTTACTTACAAACATTAGTTTTGATTGAAGTTGAAGAAATATGTTCTCTCATATTTTTTTTTCAATTGCAACCTGTTCTGTTTTGATCTCAAAAAATTTTTTTGATTGCCACTTACTCTTTTTTGCTCTCAAATCTCTTTTTTGGTTTCAAATCTATTCTATTTGATTGAATAATAAAGGAACAAAATTCTCTCCATATAAAACCAGCATTTTTAAAATATCCAAGCACCCTGTATCATAGCTACATGTGTGACGTTTTTAACAAATCAATACTTTTGGAAATTGGTCCAAAATTCAGCGAATAATTCTACTTTGAGATTGAGGAGTTCCTCTTTCCTTCGTAGGTTGATGCACCGCTGCCCCTGCTAGCCCTGTTCCAAGATGGCCGCCCTGTAGGCACGCCGCTTTAATGGGTGGCAGCAGTCGATGCGGCGTCTATGTATATATGTCTATGATATCATCTACCGAGAGAGATCCTGCACGTCATCATCATTTTGTACATCCCTCCCTCTGCAAACCCAACATCTGCCTGCAGCATCATACAAACCACCATCTCCAAACTACAGACTCAACACCCCAGTGCCCTCATCATCATGTGGGGAGACTTTAATCACGTCAGAGTTCTGCCTTTTAAATACGTGAGCTGTCCTACCAGAGAGGAGAGGACCCTGGACCTGATGTATACTAACATTATGGATGCATACATCTCCTCTTCTCTCCCCCCTCTGGGCAGGTTAGATCACAACCTGGTTCACCTCAAACCCTGCTATGTACCTCTGGTAAAGAGGAAGCCTGCGGCCACTTTACACACTGAAAGTGTGATTTTAAACTATACTATATATATATATATATATATATATATATATATATATATATATATATATTCTTAATATATGTATGTCTATTACATATAGAGTATGTAACGAAAGTAATTCCCCCTGGGATTATATTAAAGTATGTCTGATTAAATAACTCAATGGTTCACGTTACCACGGTTTCATACTCGGTGGCTCATGTTACCACAGAGATCTGAAGTGCACATCTTCAACTCAAGCAAGGAAGCTTAAGATTTTCTTCATACACATTAACACCTTAAAACTGCAGGTAGTTACTGGTATGTTGTGTATGACCTTTAAGGTTTAAGTCATTACTAGGCTCTTTTTCTCATCTCATAATCGATATCTATATATGTATATGTATGTATAGGTATCTATAATGGGTCTTTATTTCTCAATGATGTATCCTAAGTTTCTACACAGTGGAGCCATGTAATTATTTAAACCCTTCTTTAAAAAGACAATCATAGAGGAGCAGTGACAAAAGTTTAAGCCAACTTTCTCATAGTCAGGTGTCTGTATTAGCAGACCCCCCACTCTCCATGGGGATAAAGGGCGGTAGTGGAAAGATATTTATGACGATGTAAATGTTTTTGATGTAATATCACCCTACCCTATATAACACCTATATTACACAATTAAAATGAGTCAAATTAAAAACACACTTACACTTCCTCAGACCTGGTCTCAACCATCGGAGTCCAACAGGCTCCACCCTGAAAGGAGGAGGGGGGTCAGACTAGTACATCCTCTTTCAGCATGAAAACATGGACATTACATCACTGTCATACACAGAGGTTATTCTCTACAAATGGACTTACATCTTCACATGAAGCACTTATTATTCATCAGCTGATATTCTTTTAGTTCAGTGGAGCCTTTTTTGCTACAGCTCATTAGTTTCACTTATTGATGATGTATTATTATCAGCATTATATTGACAAATCATCATAAAGTTCAGACTCTTCCTCTACTAGTCAGTCAGTAAATGTTGGATGTACAAAGTGTCTGACTTTGATACTGCTGATTATATCTCTGTGTTGGAACATCCTGGCTGTTCCTTTCTTCATACCTGAGAGTGTCCAGTCTCCAGTTTGGATCCTCCAGTCCAGCAGACAGTATCTTCACTCCTGAGTCTCCTGGATGATTGTAGCTCAGGTCCAGCTCTCTCAGATGGGAGGGGTTGGAGCTCAGAGCTGAGGCCAGAGAAGCACAGCCTTCCTCAGTGATCAGACAGCCTGACAGCCTGCAAATACACAGAATGCATTACATAATAAACATGTTCATGGAAAAAGACTGAAACTAAATAAACAAAACAGGTGTCCAATCCAACAAGCAGAGACAATGTTATGGAGGTTATGATTTGTTCCACTGAAGCAATGTGGTGTCATTTTTCTACTATATAATAACAGCTTCAGAATAATTTTGATGTTACGCTGACTTGAACCAGGATGAATGCTTCCTCTGTACGCCTGTTCTTGCGCAGTGTAATATTGTTTTTGTGTCTCGTTATGGCACAATTCACATCAACAAATACCAAATCTTACATAGTGTTGCCTTCATGTGAATCAATATATATGTGGTAATCAGTTGAACACATTGATGGATCCTGACCTGAGAGTTTCCAGTGTACAGTGTGGACTCTCCAGTCCAGCAGACAGAAGCTTCACACCTGAATCCTGCAGGTTGTTGTTACTCAGGTCCAGCTCTCTCAGACTAGAGGACTGGGAGCTGAGAACTGAGGACAGAACTTCACAGCTTCTCTCTGAGAGGTTACAGTCACTCAGTCTGAAAAGACAATAATAAAGAAAAAACAAGCAGTTAATTGAAAAGTATTTAAGTAATAAAAAAGAAATCCAACTCTCTCTGTACTTACAGAGCTTTGTTGGAGGCTTTGACCACTGGCAGCAGCCTCAGAAGAGCATCCTCTGAAGCAGAGTATTTCTTCAGGTCAAACACGTCCAGATCTTTTTCTGATGACAGTAAGATGAAGACCAGAGCTGACCACTGAGCAGGAGACAGTTTATCTGTGGAGAGACTTCCTGAACTCAGGTACTGTTGGATCTGATCCACTAGAGAATGATCATTCAGTTCATTCAGACAGTGGAACAAATTGATGCTTTTCTCTGCAGAGGGAGTCTCTTCAATCTTCTTCTTGATGTACTGGACTGTTTCCTGATTGGTCTGTGAGCTACTTCCTGTCTGTGTCAGCAGACCTCGTAGGAGATTCTGATTGGTGTGCATTGAAAGACCCAAGAGGAAGCGGAGAAACAGGTCCAGGTGTCCATGTGGACTCTGTAAGGCTGTGTCCACAGCACACTGGTGGAAATGTTTTGGTTTCTGTTTGTGTTTAAATAATTTAGACTTCAGGGATGTTGTTTGTTGTTCTGCCAGCAGATTGACTCCAGAGTTGATGAATGTCAGATGGACATGAAGAGCAGCCAGAAACTCCTGAACACTCAAGCGGACGAAGCAGAAGATCTTGTCCTGGTACAGTCCTCTCTCCTCTTTAAAGATCTGTGTGAACACTCCTGAGTACACTGAGGCTGCTCTGATATCGATGCCACACTCTGTCAGGTCTGATTCATAGAAGATCAGGTTGCCTTTCTGCAGCTGCTTAAAAGCCAGTTTTCCCAGAGACTCAATCATCTTCCTGCTCTCTGGAATCCAGTGTGGATCTGTCTCAGCTCCTCCATCATACTTGACATTCTTGACTTTGGACTGAACCACCAAGAAGTGGATGTACATCTCAGTCAGGGTCTTGGGCAGCTCTCCTCCCTCTCTGGTCTTCAACACATCCTCCAGAACTGTAGCAGTGATCCAGCAGAAGACTGGGATGTGGCACATGATGTGGACGCTTCGTGATGTTTTGATGTGGGAGATGATTCTGCTGGCCTGCTCCTCATCTCTGAACCTCTTCCTGAAGTACTCCTCCTTCTGTGGATCAGTGAACCCCCTGACCTCTGTCACCATGTCAACACACTCAGGAGGGATCTGACTGGCTGCTGCAGGTCGTGTGGTTATCCAGAGGTGAGCAGAGGGAAGCAGTTTCCCCCTGATGAGGTTTGTCAGCAGCACATCCACTGAGCTGGACTCTGTAACATCAGTCAGGATCTCAGTGTTGTGGAAGTCCAGAGGAATTCGACACTCATCCAGACCGTCAAAGATGAACACAACCTGGAACTCTTCAAACCTGTAGATTCCTGCTTCTTTGGTTTCAGTAAAGAAGTGATGAACAAGTTCCACCAAGCTGTACTTTTTGTCTTTCAGCACATTCAGCTCTCTGAAAGTGAATGGAAACGTGAACTGTATGTCCTGGTTGGCTTTGCCTTCAGCCCAGTCCAGAGTGAACTTCTGTGTTAACACTGTTTTCCCAATGCCAGCCACTCCCTTTGTCATCATTGTTCTGATTGGCTGATCTCTTCCAGGTGAGGCTTTAAAGATGTCTTCCTGTCTGATTGTTGGTTCTGGTCTGTCTGGTTTCCTAGATGCTGTTTCAATCTGTCTGACCTCATGTTCATCATTGACCTCTGCAGTCCCTCCCTCTGTGATGTAGATCTCTGTGTAGATCTGGTTCAGAAGGGTTGGGTTTCCTGCTTTAGCAATCCCCTCAAACACACACTGGAACTTCTTCTTCAGGTTAGATTTAAATTCATGCTGACAAACTCCAGACTGACTTCCTGAGCAAACACAAATAAGGACAATTCCTGAGTCAAGGAAATATTTCAGCATTTAATTCCACTTAAAGAATGAGTATGTGAATATATTTTGGTCCATCTCTTGAGACATCAGTAAATGTCTCATTTATCCAGCGTGTTAAATCTTTAGAGAAATCCTCTTACTGCTCTGCAGACGGTCAGCCAGCTCCTCCTGCTTCATTCTCCTCAGGAAGTGCACTGTGATCTTCAGAAATGCCTCTCTACTTCTCCTCCTCTGCTCTTCATCCTCACCGTCAAACACTTCCTCATCCTCCCTCTGACTCTCTAAGCATTCTGGGTAATCTGAGCTCAGAACCTTCTGGATCTTCTTCAGCTCGTTCTTTACAAAAGTCACAATGTTGTCCTCCAGCAGCTGGAACAGAATATTATATGAATGACTCAATCAAAGTCAAATCATGGAATCAAACATCAGATCCATGTTGGACAGACTGACAATCCACTGGTCTAAAAAGTGCAGCATGGAGATTATTGTGAACTCAATAGATGTAAAAGTAGTTGTTGTAAATGTACAGACCATAAATATGGAGTCCAGGTTTGTTGGGTGAGACTGACCACTGGGAACCTCTGAGCTCTCCTGGTCCACTCTGTGGAGGAACCAAGAATTAGCTCACATTATGTCTGTCCACACAGAGACAAAACCTGCCAGTGACTGAATACACCGACTGTACACAATGTATTTGTATCCAGGGAGATTTGTTTAGGATTTCTATGAAGTCAGTGTTTGATTTAGACATATTAAAATGTATTTATTAAAGCTGTATTTAGTGCAGTGTGCAGCATAGGTGTGAAATGATGCTGTTGACTGACCATATTGGTCCATTTAGGATAAAAGAGGAACAGACGTGGTGATCAGACACATACCATTACCGTCCATTAAAAGAAAGACATTTAAAACAATTAAAAATAGAGATTTCATAACTGAGAGTCTGATCTGATTTTCATCATCAGTTTGAAATCCTCACCTTTGATCAACAGAGTGGCGGCCATCTTTGAAGTGTATAAGACGACCCTTAGAGCGGTCACTCTTCATGGACACACAGCTGGGTTCAGGTTTTTTCCTCCTGATAGAAAAACAGGATAAATTCTGCACTGCACCCACAACACACTGAGACTAAATCTGCCAGTGACTGAATACACCGACTGTACACAGTGTATTTGTATCCAGGGAGTTCTTGGTTAGGATTTCTATAAAGTCAGTGTTTGATTTAGAAATGTTTCAGTGTATATTTTAAAGCTGTATTCAGTGCAGTGTGCAGCATAGGCAGGGAAATTATGAGATATTTTAAAACATTTAAAAATAGAGATTTCATAACTGAGAGTCTGATCATTTTATTTTCATGATTGAAATTTGAAATCCTCACCTTTGATCAACAGAATGGCGGCCATCTTTGAAGTGTATAAGACGACCCTTAGAGCGATCACTCTTCATGGACACACAGCTGGGTTCAGGTTCAGGACAGTCTGGTCTCTGATGGATCCTGATAGAAAGAAATTCATTAAAGCTCACATATTCAGAAACATTCTCACTGAATCAAAGACTTTGTGAAATGATGTATAACTTGAAATGTTTGAATACAGGGCTGGACAATAAGAACAATGTCTTCAATTACTGACATTATGGACGTGTTACTGAACACAATTTACTGATGTCACACACTTCAACACACTGTCTGAATTCCATATAATTAAAGTGAGAGCAGCTACAACATCTAACCAGCGAGCAATCAGCTCCCAGTCCAGTCCAGAAGAGCAGAATGTGAAACTGGTCAGACTGGAATGAATCAGGACAAACATCAGCAGTGAGCAACATGAGGAAGGAAATCTGCTCTGATTGATTCAAACACATGTTACTGTTACATTTCTCATTATGAAGCTGAATGTTTCTGCTGATACTGATTGGTCCGTGTATGTTTTGGTCATTGGATTTTCCTTTCAGAAACGGATATTAAAAAACAGAAAACAAGTGGTTATTTGATTTTCGTTTTAAAATACAAAAATTAAAATTGAAATACAAGGCGTTTTTCTTTTTCATGGTCAGAAAGGGATGAGCGAAATTAAAAAAATGATTCGATTTTCATTTTCTATTTCATATAACAAAAAATAAAATCACTAGAAAACAGAAACAGAAAAAAGGCCTGTTTTTTCATATTCTGAGACCGGATGTTGTCATTTACAGGACGGTGCTGTGTAGAAGAAACAGTAGGCTAGTAGACTGCGGTCAATCCAGCCGTGAGTCCGATCTCCGTGGTCAAATCAGCCGCACTTGGCTATGGATGGTATATTTGACTTCTACACATCTAAGACTACAAATATACTTAATATCAAGCATTTTTACTGTACCAATTTGGAGAAATTGAAGAATAAAAGTCCCATATTTATACTTCCAGATTCCATATTTTCTTATATTTGAGCTACTGTAAAAACATATTGCTCAATATTTCCAGGCTATGGGTGAAGCATTTTCATTATACTTCAATAATGCTGCAGTAATCATGACAAAATTTCACACAAATGTTTAATAACATCTTGATAATATAAACACTAAACACTAAACACAAAATCCTACACAATTCTAATTTGTTTACTTTTCACACAAAATGCAATGCCAGTCCACATTCTTCTTATTTTGCTGCTCTGCTGTGTCCATTTGTAGGTAAAAGGGAAAAATAATTAGTTTTAACTTCAAAACACCATTGTACCTACTGTCTCTTCCTCACATATTATTTTTTATATTATTCAGTGTGACAGCTGTTGCAGGTGGTTCCACAAACAGTTTACATTTTTACAGTAGCTCAAATATAAGAAAATATGGAATCTGGAAGTATAAATATGGGACTTTTATTCTTCAATTTCTCCACATTGATACAGTAAAAATGCTTGATATTAAGAATACTTGTAGTCTTAGATTTGTAGAAGTCAAATATACCATCCATAGCCAGGAATTATTGAGCAAAGTGTTTTTACAGTAGCTCAAATATATGAAAATATGCCACATGGAGGTATAAATATGGGACTTTTATTGTTGAATTTCTCCAAATTGGTACAATAAAAAT